AGTTACATATATAACTTAACAATTTTTTTTCCCGAACGGTAATCAAAATTTTAATCATTCACACTATTCATCAGTATTTCGGAAAGGGAGTCTCTAATGAACAAAACATTTCAGCCAATAACACATGTTTTTGGTATAGGTATGTACATATATACTGCTGGTCTAGTAGTAAAATTGTGCGAAACTTTCATACGATAAAGTAATCAGTTAAAGGTTACAGTATATAAACAATTTTCTCAATATTTATATCACCGTTTTAATGTAACAAACTGATGTTTCAACACAAATGATGATATTACCATACTAATTAGCACTGATGATTGAGATTTCTTTGTCCTCTACTATTAACATAATTCACTAAGGATGTTTATGCGAATTTCAAGGCATAAGTCACTATGTGCACTAAAAAGCCAAAGAGTTGAACATCAAATATGTTATCTCTGTCTAAACTAATTATGTATAAATCTCTAAGAATCTCACAAGATTTCCTTCAGTTTTACAAAGTGCAAATTGTTACAGATATCAACAAATAATGAGAATCTTTTATGCTTAACAAGATTCGAAACACGTTTAAATCAGTTCATAAAGAGAAATATAAAGTCATATTAATTGAAACATTAAGTCTGTTGAATCCACCTGACAGGTTTCTTCCAAATCATTCCATTTGATATTTTCCCAGTCATTATCATACCTTATTCGTTTGCTGTTAAATTTGGTCAGTTTATTCTGTGCGTTCTCATATGAATTATGGTTTTATCTAGAATAATCTTTCCATATAACATGCATGCCTTTATCACGTATTTAAATATCCACCGAGAATTCATGGCCCATACTTGAATCATCAAAGTGATCATACGAAAAAAAAATAATAGTTGCATTACTTCACAAGACAACTTTTTAAAAAAATCAGCTGTCATTAGTAAAATAAAACTAGTTCGAGGGATCTTGTAAAACATTTATTACTGTCATTTATTTATATTCATTTTAAAATTTTATACCTTAGAACATCCTAACCCATACAAAATATTATGAGAAGTAGTTCACCATTTTTACTGACCTTACAGTTTTTAATGATGCTAGGTCCTTACGCCAGCCAACACCACAAATGACCTTTCAGTAACCACTATGCAACAAGGAATTAAGACTTGGCCATTCCATGCTCAAATGACGGTCCAATACTAACTTGCTCCAATCGAAGAGGGAGAAAAAATATACCAATTTCCACCAGTCTAAGATTCTGTGTCATTATATTTCAGACATTCCATAATGTACACACAACCAGATCACATCACACCAGAAAATGGAAATTAACATCCACACATTAGTAGGCCAAAAGTAGCTGTGAGTAGTGGAGATTGTAAATAATAATCTGTCAGCAAAATAGGAGCAATAAATCGTATGCTAATAATTTGTGGATTAACTGAAAGGAAAATATGTACCCGATAATCTACGTACTAAATAAATATGTAATCATCCTATACAAATAAGACCTTAGAAAAACAGCTTACAAAGTTTGTTACTTTCTATTTAAATCGTACTTCACAACAATTGAATTAATCAAACAAATGAGAACTAATTGGAAAATGACCACTAAATAAATTAATTTATGAACGGTCAATCAATATTTGAATGAATAGATGATTGTCCTGCTTATTATTTAGGACACAGAAGCTTATTTATTCTAAAACTTGGTTCAGGTGATTGACGTGTTGGTTTGTTCGTATGAAAATAACGGATAGATCAATGACCTTGTAGAATTTCACTTATTGACCAAGCTGATAGATAAAAATGAATATTCGTTGGAGAAAAAGAAGTTCGTTTAGTGACGTAAAGGAACTGACATTCCACTAAACGGTTACTGTAATTAGTGATAGCCTGACGAAGTAATGTAGGTGACCCAAGTAATAATCAATTGCTTTATTCAGTGAGAAAATTTACATTCAGTTAGGAGTTTTAGTATGACTGGATGCTAATAATCAAATTTAATGGTAGATGATTAATAATGATAATTCTTCCAGCATTACTTAACATATCATTACTTGTTATCTTATACTTTTTCCCATTATTCTTTGCTAGGATTTTAAGAAAAGATTTTCTTGTTTTGCGAAGAATGTTGAAGGTAGTTAGTGGAGTTTTGTGGTGAACCTTTTGAAATCGTCATGAATACAGTGATTGGTAGATGTCTAAAAGCATGCAAATTTCTGGTAAATGTTATTTTATCTGATACTAACCATCCACTTCAATCTCATCTTTCTCCTTGTTTATCTTCTGGTAGGAAAAGACACCAATACATTAGAATCTCTGTACACAAGTATTTAAAAACGTATAAAAGCTCTACGATATCTTATTTAGCAGATATCATAAAAAAGACATTTCGTTTAAATTCCAGAGAGCTTATTTACTTAATTTCCTTATGTATATATGTAAGCAGTTACTGGTTGGTTCTTTTTATTGGTTTTCTAAAGGAAATTTGTTGAAATACTCCGTGCCCAGAATTCCATATTGTACCAAATATCTATTATTAATTAAAGACATTATTATTATAACTATCATTTTTATTATTAATATTATTATTATAAATGTCTTCCACTGAGTAGTTGGCAATCGCATCAACTTGATGAGTTAAGTGAAAGTGTATATCTATGACAAAATGACAAACATCAAGTTGTGTTTACCTCCTTTAAGTAAATTAAACATTGAGATTAGAGTAATACATTTGTTGAAAATTATTTTTGTTTACTTTATCTTGTTGAATTTGCATTAATAGGTAATTAAAAAGAGTAAGCATGAAATTACTAGATTAATATAGTGTACATGGAGTATTTTAAAATATTGAGTTTACGCTAAGAAAATGTTAAAAATATTTTGACCATTATATCAGTTTCCCTAAAAATCATAGGTCGATGATTATAAAATTTGTAACACATTACTAACGATAATATTATTTAAGTAAAACATTTGAGCTTCAGAAAATTCTGTTTAGTTCTCTTTTCATTCAATCTCATTCTTCTAAAATATATCAATTATAATTGTGAATTCATGAAGAAATAAAAATCTGTAGATAAATTTGTTTTAATAACAATTAAACTTAAAATAGTTTGTTGGTATTATAAGAATCTATAATTCATGAAAAATAGAATTTTAGACCATAGATTTTCTATGTGTAACATCGAACTTTTGAAACCATTAGTTCGTTTGTGTGATTAAAAAAAAAAATTCTCATCTTACAATAATGCCTATTTTTGTGTATAAGCCATATAACTTTAATTCAAGGAAATACGTTTAGCCAAGTTGTTGTTTGTCGCGTTGTAATTTCCGTTCATTTGAAAGATATGTATGACTGATTTGGTATTTTGTAAATAATTATTATTACATTACAATACAAATTAATGCGCATACTAATCACTACACATGCAAACTGTCATTAAATATCACGAACTGATCAGTTAATTACATCGCTGAATTTATATCAAGCTACATTTCTGATCGTTATACCAATCACATAACTTTATTCTAAACATATGACAATGAGATCGACGATGTCATCTATAAATGTTACTATGAATTCCGACTCGACAAACAGTGGAAATAAACTCGTCGGAAATTAAATTACTATCTCATCCAGTGTTTTATTGATTTAGAAATTAATAATCTTCCAAATTTATGACTTGTATTCATTAGGCATTAATGATTTCTAGTTCAGCGAAAAACGATCAAATTCACCTCTCTTTAGGATTTTTGAGGTAGCTTGGTTTTCGACACGTAAGTACACTGTTCAAATTGAAGAATATTTGAACTTAAAGATAATAATTTCAAAGAATTTGTGTCTACATATGAAAAAAAAGTATACGATATTTGAGAGTTTAGTGTAGAGAAGGTAGGAAACATGAAATAAAAGCAGAAGAAACCTGACATTTCACTTGACAATTTGATATAATCTCTTCAGAATCAAAAAGTTGTTTTCGGATACAAACGAAGACCAATCACATATTAAATACGGTTTGATGTTGTTGACAATGTTCCATTTTTTAGCAAAGTTGTTAATAAAAAATTCTGACTTTATACAAGATGTCTCCAACAATAAAACTCTCCTAACTGAAGTGTAATAGTATGATTTTTTTCCACCGTAATGTTCATTTTGCTTAACCAATTTCAAATTGAAAACCGTTCTAACAGAATAGTGTTATTTGTTTTATCTACTAGTGATAAGAATGTTAATGTGTGAAGTGTTTGACCTTAAATTTCACCCGTACTGTGAACTATATAGACAACTTATTTCCCACGACGACTAGATACATTTCGTACATCAAAATAGTCAGCCTAATTGTCTTGATCTAATCACATAACTCTAATGAAAGTTTAGAATGAAATCAAAAATAAATGGTATTCAAAACAATAAGCATTTGTCATTACTGTCATCTAGATTAGTAAACTATCCTAAAAGTCAGAAGTACTACTAGTCAAACAGTTTTGCTGATTGGAGACATAGAATTTACTATAATTCACTATCTAATATCCTTATTCAGAATGTCATTTATAAGCTCGAAGAGAATAAACAAGTTTCTTTTAGGACAACTCCCTTTTTATTCTTTAAAGTTCAAGGATTAAATTCTGACTAAAATTAAATCGAATAGTAGCTGTTTCTATACTACATTAAATTTTTTCACTAATGTAAGTACAAATCTTTAAGAATAATAAAAGAGCACCTACGTACGTTTTGTTGTTTGGTCACGAGAATAAACCAATAGGCTAGTATATAGACATATCACCACTACCTAAGCCTGTCTATTTGTCGCCCGTTAAATTTTATAGTAAAATAAACTGCTTATGAGTTTAATAAGTAGAATATTATGTCCTAATGGGAGTCCATAGTTAAACATTATACTGAAGCATTACTTGACGAGTGGTTGGATTTTAATTAATTATGTCATCATTCATCTTTAAAATTGAATATATTTACATGAATTTATATTAACTATGAAGAAAAAATATCTTTTCTGTATAAACATAGTCCTAATTTGATTTCTATTGGAATATTGTATGAACACAGTTTACTTAATTTTAACTCGTATTGCATCAATGAACACAAAACAGTCATTTTTTCGACGGAGACGTTCATCATCTTTGACAACAATAAACACTAGCTTTTCAGATGATGAAGACTTTTGGTCAGCATCTTCTTCAAGAAAAACATCAAAAGATTCGGAATGCAGGAAGAAAATAAGTTTATCAGCTGTTCAATCAGCCAGTGAATTACATACCATGAATCCCACTAACATATCAAATGAAATTGAGGTTAGTTGAATTTCGTTCCTGTGTTTATCTTTGAAAATCACCAAATCTGTTGATTGGTTAAGACTTTATATCTTGTCGGTTCCTTAATTCAGTTGTCTCCGAATTTTATTGTCTGTTTATTTGTTTAAATTTTCTACGAGAATGGTGATTCTATTAGCCTGTAGAATACAGTTTGAAAGTCTGACAACGGTACAAATGCTAGTCATACTAACAGATAAATCTTTAGAGTAGAATTGTCATTTGTAGTACAATGTTGTTTATGGTTTGATGATTGCTGTTGCCCCTGCTGTATACATTGGCTTAGATGGAACAAGTGACCTAATTGTATTACATTTAAACATTCTATTGTACTACTAATAGAGCTGCATGCTTGCAATCAGCTTTAACAGTTGATGGATTTAAAGTTAGTTATAGTTTATTTACTTCGTTACAGATTCGCACTTACGAATTTGGACTGTTTTCGGTTGTTAGATTGCTAAACAATGAGATAACTTATGAAACTTCTTCGTATAAATAGTACTGATATCAGCTAACAAAGGTGGAGAGGTTTGGTATATTCCAACAAGATATCAGTGAGGAAATTCCTTGTGACGACTCCAGGTTATAAGTCGTAGAAAATATTCAAGTTCTTCAGCAGAGTTTCAGCTGCACAGTCGTAGTTATTTGAATCTAACATAAAAAGACGTTGTTTTTCGCATACAAGTTATTCAGGTGAAATAATTTTGAATCGAACGTTTCTAAGATATCCCACACTAAAACGACAACTCAACCGTACAAATTGAGTACAGTTCCTCATGAGATCAAAGGTATGCATCAGTACAAAGTTCAACAATATTTGTTTGTCATTATCGCGAATTTGTGATACACATTCTGAAAAGATTACATTAAACACGTCATAAATTTGGTAAAAAATAAAATCAAAGTACTTTTAACTTCTCATCTGTAGGTTGAGAGAGCAGATAAATTCCCGAGATCATATTAAAGTACTGCTTAAACAGATGCTGAGGCGATTGTGTAGTGTTTTAAAGAAAGAGTTAGCTGATCTGAATAATATATGTATATATCTTCTCTAAACGAAATTAAAACACGAATTACAATAAAAACAAAGTGAACTAAAACAATTCGGTTCGGATGCAATATTTGCAAGAGCCGCTAGTTTATAGATAAATTCTATTCGTCAAATTTTCTAACATTACCTATATCTGAATACTGCCCAATATAATAATCAAGAAACTAGTATATGATTTCCATAAATTTTAAGCAAAATCTACAGAGTTTGGAGACAATTTTCATCAACATAACTTACATCAATTGGAGTTATTAAACAAAATAAATATTTTGGAAGAACAATAAAATTAACTAGAATTCATGAAACCATGTAAATAAAATTATAAAATCTAACTTACATCAAATGGAGTTTTGTAGTATTTCTCAACAGCTTAGGCTTATTGTTTACTCACAACCTCATCCTACGCGATCTTATCCGTTACCGTCTGGTCACTCAGCGAAGATTTATATGAACCTCTAAGTTGAAATCCAATGGTTTACATTTCCAGCTTTATTTGATTTAGGATGCACTGAGACCACTACGTGATGACCTTTAACGGTAACTATCCTATTTAAGCTATGTTTGAATGCTATTAATCATCATAAAATACTGAATTTATCTCGAAAGCGATCACCGATGAGTTTACAATTTTTATTTACTTGGACTGTTTGTAAATATCATTCTGTAAACTTGTTAAAATACAACTATTAATTATTCTCTAATTGTTATTATTATTATTATTATTATTATTATTATTAATATCGAATTAAATTAATAGCTACAAATCATCCATTTTTAAACTGCAGAGTTATTAACATCAGCAGCTTATAAAGGTATTCATCTATATCAATAATCATATATTTTTTTTGATCATTTCAGTATTCACGTGAAACTTTATACAACCAGAATGAATCACACACAGTCAGAGAGTCTCGAACAAATTCTTTTCAATTTGATAATATTATGTGTCGACGGCAATCTGTTAGTTTACCTGGATTTCATGAAGGATTGAATTCTGGTAAATTAGTATCCAGATTAAGTTTAGTCGGTGATGAACTAGAAGAAAGTTTAAAGGTAAGTTTAAAGTTTTTTAAATTGTGAATGATTTTCGATGAATTATTTGAATAAATCCTTTTTTTCAGGCAAAAACATGGCAGAAATCCATGAAGTCACTAACAAGTGGACTGAGTCATGTTGGTAGATGTAGACTACCTGGTTATGGTCCGCGAGACTAAAGTCACCAATGATTAGAGACCTTGAACGACATGGCTCAGGATCGTTTGGAGTGGCACAGGTCCATCCACTCTCTGTGTCCTTTTTAATTCTAACCTTCCTGATTCCTCATAATCTCTATATTTCTCCTTCTAAAGCTATCTCACTGAATTATACTTTTTGAATCATATCTTTGCTCCCTAATCTTCTCCATTGCTGCTAATAATTCTACTGTCACTATCACTCTTGGATTTGAACTAACAGTTACGTCTCTGTGCTGACGTGGTATGGCAACCTGAACTGATGTACTTATGTACAAAGTTCTGCGTTGTATCTGTCTGTCGTCTGTCTGTCTGTCTTTCAGGAAAGAATAATAAATAGTTGTTTGAAAACTTTTATCATTACTACAATAACAGTATAATGTATTCAATAAACTTTTAACAGCGAATGTTGAACCAATTATTATTAAACAAAATAAATATTTTGGAAGAACAATAAAATTAACTAGAATTTATGAAACCATATAAATAAAATTATAAAATCTTAATTATTTAGATAAAATTCTCATATTTTATTAACATTTATGAAGACGCGTATTTTTAAAAATATATCATATTAGCGATACTAATTCTATTCAAATACAATTACGATTATTTAGAATTAATAATTACTGGAAAGTTAAACAAAAGTGATGAAAAATGACCAGTAAAATGAATTTCAAAGGATTTGGAAGTTTTTTTCAGTAATGATCATGGTTACGATAAGTATTTAATTTAAATATCGAACGCAGGACACATGTTTCATGTTTTATGGAATTCATTTTGGTGAATATACCTGCATCTCTGTTGATATTCATTGTTGGACCTAAAACAAGTATCTTTTTCTCAAAAGGCATCAATTACTGGACTGTTAAATCGTGTTGTTCACTTAATTTTTCAATGAATTGAAGAGATCAGCTACTATCCAAGATCTAATCAACAGGTAACTTCAGATGGTAGTGAAACATCCATTCAAGAGAATTATGTGCCAATAAAGGTTGATAATTTCAGTCTTGAATTGGTATTATTGAACAGTTTGAAATCATTTAAAGACGAAGAAACAGAAATTGTTTACTTTAATAATATGAATTGAAGAAATAACATGAACTCCTCCCTCATCCGCCTACTGAAGTGTAACTAAATACTAGTATAAGAAAAATGTAATGTTTTGAAATTATAACGAAATATAAACTCCCACGAAGTGATCATTGTAAACAAAGTAACTAAGCAACGAAACTGTCCTTATCTTTTTAACCCAACTAATTTATAGAAAATTATAAGTGTATCATTCAGTTGAAAAGCAACACCATTTTCCTCCATCACATTTTTTTTCTCTCAGTTAAGTTTCTTATAGTGAAATTCATCATAATGATCGAATTATACTGTAACCATTAAATTCTTAATATAGTGGAAACGAGTTTACCGAAGATATTTACGAATTTTGAGTTAAATATGTGGTTAATAATTACAAAAATCAAGATATCGAACAATGAGAAGAAGAATTCTAAGGCTTTTACAGAAAATAATTGTGTTACCAAGAAATCAGGTGTGAATATGGATAGGTGTGTAGACTTAATCTTTTAAAGAAATTAACTAATTATCTGATCACTACCATGCCGTTTGTTAATGTAACGCCGAAAATTGGAAAACATTGATTTAAATACATATATTCTTTGCAGTCAGGTGAATTATGACCTCTTCTGATGTATATAGAATACAGACAGATTCAGTCACAAAGAAAATTGAGGTGATCATGATAAATTAATGCTAAATTCACGATTCAATCAAATGGATATTCTTTCTCCATTTTATATCATTTTGAAACTCGTGATTATCTTGATATCTATCGACTCTAAACAATAAGCATCAATTATTGTTTTTTTCACTCAGCAGTACTACATTGATATTGTGACTATAACGGAGGAACGTAAATAATGATTGGGATTCTTATTGGAAAATTCCAAATGAACTACGTGTAGGGACGTTTTAGTATTTGAATAGAAATATTTACGATGTAATTTCATCAGTTTAGTGCAAATTTACATACACTCATAAGTTCTTTGTATTTCTTTAATAATTATGTAACTTAAAAAAAGAAAATAATGAGATTTGATTTCCTCATAAAATTTAGATTTAATTAAATTTGCGTATTTAATAGCGAAAAGCAGTAAACACGTTAATTATTCATGATAAACTATGAATTCAAAATTCAACAGTAGTTTAGAGCTGTTAATTATTCAATTAACCTATTAGTAGATTCATTTAAAATTAGTTTGATCAAAGTGAACTGTTCAAAAAAGGGTTGAAATATTTTTCGAATACCAAATCACAAACTGTACAGTTCGAATGTTTTCATGTGCTGAACACTCCTTCGACATAACTGTTACTTAGTTTATATCGAATGGCTGTTTCGTTTCTAATAGTCTACTTAAAAAATGGTGGTCACCTGACTCAGGGATCAAATATTACAGAACATGATGATATTTAAAATTAAATCGATAGAAAAAACATTAAACAGACGATACACGCAACTGAATTATTTCCAATAAAAAGTACCTAAAAGTTTGAGAGGACTCATGGTCCTAGTATAATTTGAGTCAGTTTCACCTAGAGTCATAGCCAAAAATATCACCTTAAAGATATTACTAATGAACACAGTCTTCTAATTTTATTAGGAAAGATGAATACCACTGTATAAGTTATTCTTAACGAAAAGCTGAAATTCAAAGCAGCATGCAATATATTAGGCTTTCATTACTCTTTTAAATCGATGAAAATAGGGAAATGTATGTAATTATTTTCTCCCATTTTTAATAGATTATCCTACTACCATTAATTAATGAGTAAAGTTAAACTTCAGCCTAGTTAATATCATTAATTACTGTAGTAATTAATATTCGGTCGTATTAAGAATGAACACTGATTTAAAACCATCGGTAAAACACCTAAACATTTGTGTAACACTGATTTTCTCATTTATGCTAATCAAGCATTTAAGTAATCTGAAAATCTTGAAAAAAAATTTCAGTGCTAGTTCTAAATGGAACATCTACGATTGCTGACAGAATTCATCAAATCGTCTCACACCAACAGTCGATGAATTGGTTAACTGATACCATAGTTTATTTTGCCTACCACTGGTCAAATCTCGGTCTACTCTTAGATGTTATGGCAACCAGGGGTAGTCATTTAATCGGCAGATATAACTTATTTTCCCATCATGTTACTGGATAAGGATGTCCTATACATAACTAAAGATTTATTCTGGAGTCACACCACACGTGAGAAAAGACTTGAAAACACCTACAAAATGAATACTAGTTCATAATTGAAGTACACTCAACTATTGATTCTTGTCATAGTAACTGTGTGGGCCAAGTGAAAATTGACGGAACTGGGTAAACGCGAAAAATTCATTTCAAAAGGTTTTGAAGAAGTAAACCCTATGATATTGTACTGCCTATTATTTTACAAAACAAAACCTATTCTTTTTAATGACCCTATAGTAGGGAAAAACAGATAACGATTCCTGATCGTCATTTAAATTTCACCAGAAAAAAAAGACGCAATAATTACTTACACCGCACTTTGAGTCACATCGTCAGTGTTGTGATTCCGATTACTATTTACTTTATTTTACATCCACAACCCAGATACGAAGACAGGTGCCGAGTCTTCTCAAGTGCTGGGATATTGATTTCTACAGGTTTTCAAGATAGTGAATTCTAATCTTCCCAAGCTTTACTCTAATTATCATTTACAATTCAAATTATCATAGTTAAGAAAGAAAAGATGTTTGTTTCGTATGAAACAACTATGTTTCTGGAAAGAAAGAAGTTAAAAGAAGGGATATTATGAAGTGTACTGTAAAACCAAAATATTGTGAATGTTTGTCATTGTAGTTTCAATCTCATCTAAACTAACAAATTCAACAAGTGTTTGGCACAGTCAAAATTAATAGGTGTCTATTTTAAAAGTTTGTATACTGCTTCAGCTTACTTCTCTTTAATTTATTTTTATGGGGAGAACCAAAATTTGCCAATTCAAAGTTTGAACACAATAAACTCTCTATAGGGTTGGCTTGGCTTAATTTTTTAAAACGTAAAGATTGGTACAATGGTGCACCAAAATATATATATATGCGTCACATAGAAATGAAACTGTGAAGTAAGAGAGAAGGGCAGTGAGTGTAATATTCAAAAAGTAAATTGAAATCAGTACCGATATTACAAATTAAAAATCTTATTGTGATCCTGTTCTTCGCTGTTTCCATTAGTCAATTAGGATTTATAAAAAAAAAGAAAAATCTGGTTTATTGTAACAGCATACTGTGAATTGTATTCACTGAACATAGAGAAACTCAAAAAAATGTGATAAAATTACGTATTCTATAAATTAGCAAAAATTAAGTTCACAATATTGCACAGTCTACATTCAGTCTCTTAGATAGATAACTATCTCACATTCCATTTAGTTAAACTCCACTGGTCACCGGTTCTTGTGGGTTCAATCCCCAGAAGCGAGGTTTCGAATGTGTAGTGATTACCAGTTCCATACTAGAACAAAACGTTCGTCCAATCCATCCAGGTTTTCAATGGTGGTCTAATTAAGATTAGTTCGCAATTCAAACAATGGAAATTCTACAATCTCCACAAATCAATTAAATTGTTCATTTCGAATATATTATGACTTGAATATAAATAATATCCAAAAAATTCATTCAGTTTATAAAAAGAATCATTTCATACCATTATTTTCGCCTTATTTATACTTTGTTCTCTATCTGTCTTTTTTCCTCCATTGATTTCTGTAGCAATTTAAAAACTCATATAAGATAAACGGCAGAAGATGGACTATTTTCGATTCTTCAACACCAAAACAAGAATGATAATAATGATAATCTGTTTCATGAACAAAGATGTGAGTACAACATCAACAACTTCATTACTTGATGACCTATTTTATGTATACATAACTTCATTGAATTGTCTTTCACAACTATTGTATTCTAAATTAACTGTGTGTCCGTATATTAATGCAAGAAAAAGGGATAATAAATTACATAATTTTTTCCACGTTCACAGTACACTCCATTCTATTGATAATATCATTTGATGATGAAGTTAATATACTTTTAGTCTTCAGTCAAAACAATATAAACAAATTTATCAGTTTCATGTCCCATATAAAGTATGTAGTTCTTTGTTTCCTCATAAATCATTTAAAATCATTCAAACCAAACTATTTATAAAGGATTAATTAAGCTATTAGGATTAGGATATTTTTTGATGGTGTAATCTATGATCCTCACTCGCGGTAGTCGAACCTAGGACCTTCGGCCTCACACCCGTACGCTTAACTTCCACACCAGTGAGCTGGCATCCGATGGTGTCTGTGTCTAACTTTAACCAATCCTCGATATTTCGCAACCTCACCCATTATCTTTGATAGGTAAAGGCCTACAGCCGATAAGGTTAAATCTCCATTTCTCATGGTTTCTAACTAGAACTCTGAGAATACCTTCACAAGGATAATTACTAGTGAGTATATTTAATGATTTTTCATAATGAAGTAATGAATATTATTGATTATCGGTTGATTCATAATTTCAATGAAACTCAATGATGTCCATAATTCTATAATCGAAAATATTTATGTTGTTTTTCATAACTGTTATTTTAGTACAATGACCTGTTAATAATAATCACTAACTAATAATCTATATTTTAAATAAGAGTCGGCTGTTTATTGAACCTCACTAAGTATATTGCACTTGAATATTTAGTTTACTAGTATTGAACAAGTAAATAAGAATCAAAATCTCCATAAATAAATACTCTCATGTTCACTGTATATGATGTTAACACAGGTAAAAATCCTGTCCAATATTTGAGAAATTAATAATACCCTCAATAGACTTAAGGAACTTGCTTTCTTAAAATGTAACACTTGTCAGTCACTCAGTTAAGCTACTCTATGGGCAGCAGAAGAGTTCATGCTCACTGCAGGAACCTGAGATGCAGGTACATTCAGCCCCATATACCAAAATAGACTGATTACTTGCAGTCCTAAACAAAAAAACAAATAAATCTATGAAGATTAGGTTGATATGAAGGTACTTCCTATCTTCTTGTACTTATTAGCGTTTCACGACCATTCACTTGATATCAGAACTGGTCTCTACAAACTCACTCATACGTGGTTATCAGTAAATGACTACAAGACTAGTTACTAAAGTTACAATCAGCAACCGTGAGTAGAGAGGTATGGTAACGTCAAGTGTATGACAATTACATATTAATGGCATCGAAACATTTTGGGATAGAAATATGAACTATTGAATCCTATCGTCAATCTGAAGATCACGCATCCAATCCTTTATCAGACTGAATGTATGACTAAGTAGTTTAAAATTAGAGTGAAAAGCCTACCCACTACTCCTATGTGTACAACAGCTGTCAAATTATTGTTAGCTCTTTGCGCAAGCGATCTTCACAACACATTTCTGATCGTCTTTTTATTGTAGAATATAGTTCAATAAAGAATCTTGCAAGTCTTTATATCCCCGAAGTATCTAATTTTTAAAATATCATTAAATACAAAAACTGTTTTGTATGTTTTTATATGTTGACTATGGAATCTTTTTCAGTTGAACAATTTCAATCTTCAGAAATAAAAAATCATAGTAAAATGCTTTACTAAAATCATTTTCTAAACATAAAACCCCTAAAATATTTTATGCGCTTTCAAAAAAACATTAAGGTTAAAGATGTCACCACGCTATAACGAATATATGAACAGTCAAATAAAAACTAAAAACATAGGTTACACATTGTATCAATAATTCTTTGACATAGGCTTTTTAACTATAACTAAAATTGCAACTTTACATTTTACAGTCTTTTAAAATTACCCGAAACTAAAATAAAAAATTGATTGAAATTAAGGTCAACATGTTGTCTTCCTCATGACCTTAAAATCAATCGATATATTTTAAGGGAAATCACAAGAATGAGTTAAATTCGTTTGGCTGAGCATAATCGCAAATCGATTCGATTCATATGATTTTAGGAATGAAAACTATGTATTGATTGATAATAAAAATAGGTTTTCCCTCAGAAATATGAAGATAGTGCTAAAGTAGAATGAGTGTGTTTAAGTTATTTTAAGATACATAGAACACTGTCATTTCCCTAGTCAAAAAAACCATCTCGAGGTTTTACTTTCACTTCACCCCTTTCATAAGAATTCATTTGAATTACATTTCAAATTTATTAATAACTTATTGAACACAAACACGTATTTGAACATATCAATTGATCTTTGGAATGATGAAATTATAAGTAAGTCATTTTGTTTGACACTAAACTGAGAGTGAATACATTATACTGAACATCTAAGTTTTCCATTTGGTTATAACTCCAGCACCTGAAAAACAATGTTAAGCACTTTCACTTGCTGAAATGAAAGATAAATATATTTATTAGGATCTGATAAGAACTCCTCCATAAAATTTTCGAAAACCAGGAAAAGGCTCAGAACATACAATTCAACAAGTAAACACCATGAACACATTTAGAAAATTTATGGACTATGTATCAAACTCTGATTAGAACATTATCTACTCTGTTACATAGCTCTCAATGTTTCCAGTTCCCAACTTACCTATAAACAAGCTCTTTTTCTGTGAATAAATGAATCTTCTAATAAAGTTTATACTCATCATTCAAGCCTTTTCTCTATTGTTTACGTTCAAGTACAGAAAGAGTATAAGATATAGAAAGTGAGTAGGAAGTTGGTAGCAATAGCTTTTGAGTAGAAACTTATCAGAGTTCAGATATCTGATGAAACTTATTTTCTAGCTTGTAAATAGCACTCTAATGATTAGTTCTAATCGACTGGAATTACAGTTAACTCCTTCCAACTCCCTCGACTTAAGCTTATCTAGTATCATTAGAAGATATAGATAATGAAATGAAAAGATAAGCTTAACAGTCAAAAATTGTGTTGTTAGATAAAATATTTTTGTGTGAATATCATTGCAAATGTTTGCGTATTTTATGCCCCCACATTACAGGTATCAAAATGCAGTACTTTCTGCATATATTTGTAATGGAGTGTATTTTCATATTGTTTATGATATTCAACATGAATTACTATACGTACTTTTGGAGCCTATAGCCTTGGTAAAGTCACTTGATGGAAAGTTTTAGTGAAGTTGAGTTGTGGCTTGTAATGAGATTTTGGATTGATGTTTTGTCTAATAAGGGGGTCGTCATCTAGGTGTTTCTGGATTCTGATATTTTGGTTAACGCATATTGTCATAATTATCAATACACAATCAACTAAACTACTGGGTTCAACGTTTTATATTGACCCTATAGTGAGCCTAATCGGGAAATGATAACATTTGTAAACATCTGGTCAACGATTTATACATCTTTAATCACGATGAAAAGATGAACTTTGCCTTATTATCACCACAGTTTTTGACGAGTTAATGGGCATAGGAAACTAAATTCATTCCAGTCAGTAGATCGAATGTCTCTATAATTCTGCAAACTAACTCTTCGTAACACTTACACATCAATAATTCTTGTAGGAATGGATCTAATTTTAATATCATGGTAGCCTTTAGACTGTCTCCATTATTTTTAACTATTTTACGTTATTTTCATCTGAAAGTCGGCATAACGCTGGGTAAAATTATTTTGAAACAGATTACATTTGTAGGTTAGATATATTTATATATTGGTTCTTACTTCTTGATAGCTGCAGATAGTATGAATTATTTGAAGGATAATGAAAAGTATTATCACAGTTGACGTTAATTATCAGAAGAAATATAGCAAAAAATTAAACATGAGTATACATGCCACTGTTAACAGTTTCCTGAAACCCAACTCAAAATTGATTTTCTTCTAGATTAGATCCTGAAATTCGGTAGGAATTCATGGCTAATTAATTTAGACATATAGAGACTGAAACAGTTCAAACCAGTCACAATGGATGGATTTCACGCTGTACCACGAATTTTAGTGTAGTTATAAGTAATCACCAATGATTCTGAACCCAGTAGTTCTAACGGTGAAATGTTTACCAGTTATTTTACATTGAAATCGTGATTTAATTATCTTTAGATCACCATTAGAAACCTGGGAGCACTGGGTAGCCATTCTGTCTTGGTATGGGACTTATCAGAAGTCCGCATCCACGACTCCTGTCATCCACATGATTGGAATCCTTGAACTATAGTATTGTGCGTGAATACTTAACCTTTGGACCACTAAGGTGGAGTATATCGGTGTTGATGTCTAACTTTGATCATTCTAAGGACTTTGCACAACCTCACCCACTGTCTTCGGGAGTTACTGCCTACACCCGACAGGGTTGAACTCCACTCGATATCCTAGGTTCGATCTCTGATGAGGTTGTGAATAAGCAATAACTGCTGAATGTCCTTCATCTTTCAGTGATACCCCAACTGAGCTCAATCCTTGATGAATATAATCCACAAAACATTGTTTGGAAACTTTTTACAGATCTTGGTTGAATATGTAATCGTATATTCTAAACACTGCTGATATAACCCAAGTAGTTAAATTCCAGCTCAGATGAAACAACAGGAAATAACCTGTTCCATATTTCATTGAAGCTGATCAGATAATTGCCAAGGTTTAAGATGATTATAGGCAGAACAATCAAAAAGCCGCTTGTTGATGACATTTTCACCAACAAGTTTTCAATGACGTGATTAATATAATATATAGAAAGGCATATTTTTAAACGAGATTTATGATAGGAGTAACTTCCAGTTAAACACTGTAAAATGACATAAAATCAAAAGGCAGGTCATTCTAAACTGATATAAATAAACTAAACAAGTGATTTGACTGTCATCTAAAAATGTTTCTTTTGAAAGGGGAAATGTGTCACATCAATATGTACACCATAAACTGTTTTTTGTTTATCTTACATGATATACTGAATGGAAGGAAAATCAACATAATTACAATGACATTTGAATA